AGATTGGTCCAAAAAAATTAAGTTGGAATTTTAATGCCGGTACCCCCTAGGATTGTTCTATATCGAAAAAATATACCCCTATTTTTTTATTTTGAAATCAAAAAATATTTAGGGGGTGCTCAAAGCGCTCAAAGTTTTCCATGTATTTTATATGGAGAAAAAACCATTTTTCGTAGAAATGGTATAAAACTCTTAAAAATCAATATTTTTCAATCGGAAAACTGTGGTTCTCTTCAGGAGACTTCCAGTATTAATATCCAATTGTTTATTTAACCATTTTTTATGATTAAAGATTTTTCCATTGCATTTTCTAGGGGTTTTTGAGGACCATAAAATATAGTTACTATGAAAAAATGGTTAAAGAGACCATTGCGTATTATTACTGGGAATCTCCTGAAGATAAGAAAAGTTTTCCGATCGAAAACTGTTGGTTTTCAAAAATTCTACACTATTTCTACGAAAAGTTGTTTTTCCCCCATATAAAATACATGGACAACTTTGAGCGCTTTGAGCACTCCCTATTTTTATTTTTTTTTTCAAAATAAAAAAATAGGGGTATATTTTTTTCGATATAGAACAATCCTAGGGGTGCCGGCATTAAAAATCCGACCTTATTTTTTTACATACATTTTTGGACCACTTTATTGTACATAGATGTGCAATAACATTTTATTTTTTTTAAGCTAAAACTTTTTATCGGTATGGAGTGCTTAGAAATTTTACGAAAAGGAAAACCGACACCATGCGAGACCTCTCTTCAATCAGAAATGGCTTTATATGAATCTAATGGAACATTTTTTGTTGTTTTGAATAGTGTTTCAACCTGTTTAAAAAGTTAAACTCAATGTTGGCGTTTTAACGCCATTCGGGTTCACTACTAGTGAGATAAACTTATATAGTCATATTTGGGCGGTATCACGTGTGGCTGGCACAATAACCGTACCGAGATTGGTACAACGGTTACCGAGATATACTATATATGTGATGATAATTTTATCATAAACGTATTTCTTGATAAAGAATTATTTTAACCATCAATTTTGAATAAATAAGCTTCGGTATTCACTGATTTATCGCAGATTTCGTATTTCTCAAAATTACCGTTATATGCGATGTAGGCGTGGTTATTTCAATTTTAGGTGAATAACCTTCAGTAGTGCCAAGATGTTACCCGGGTAGTAGTATAACAATTAAATGGAATGTTTATTATTAAATGATATGATACAGAGTTAAAAGTATTCAATTCAATGTCCGGTTATTGAACCGTTCCGACTCGCTGTTCGTACTTGACTGACTGCTCGCTCGCTCTCCCCATTCTCACTTTACAGTAGTTACTAAAATATCCGTATTTTCGTATTTGGGAATACTACCGTTATATGGGAGGTAGGCGTAGTTATTGTCCGATTTTGTCCATTTTTAATACCATCCGTCCTACGTCGGAAAGAAGTATACGTACCAAGTTTCGTTTCTGATCATTTATGTATAGTTTTGTCTATATCTATCTTGATTCGTTTTGCCTGTTACAAGCAACCGTTATGTGAACACAGTTGTAATACCCTTGTGCACAATGCAATGCAAAACGCCATCCTTGAAGTGTAAAATGCTTTATTTTAATATGGGCCTATTTGGACTGAATATTTCCTATACATATACTACTTTTTAAAACGTTTTCATTTGATATAAATACGTTTTTATGTGATTTTACTTCACTGTGTACTCCAATACTTGCGTGCTACATATGGCGTTAAAACGCCAACATTGAATTTAACTTTTTAAACAGATGAATCCCTATTCAAAAACATCAAAAATATTCTTAATGATTCATCTACACCATTTCTGAGTGATGACGGTCTGGCATGATATCGATTTTCATTTCATCAAATTTAAAATCTCCCTGTACTGCTAAAAAGTTCTAAATTCTATCTATGTAGAATAGGGTGGTCCAAAAACAGCAAAATCGGAATCGTAATGCTCTCACCCCGTAGGATGATCTATGTCGAAAAAAAGGATACCCCTATTTTTTATTTTAAATACAAAAAATATTTAGAGGCCGCTCAAGGCGCTCAAAGTTTTCCATGTATTGTTATATGGGAAAAATAAAATTTTTCGTAGAAACGGTATAGAATTCTTGAAAATCTCTCTCAGGTTCTCTTCAGGTTACTTTTATCAATAATACAAAATTGTTTATTTAACCATTTTTTAATACATACGAATTCTGCAAATAATCAGAATTTTCTGGTTATAAAAATATTGATTTTTAACTATTTCTTTGAAAAGCTGTTTTTTCCCTTATAAAATACATGGACGCTTTGAGCGACCTCTAAATATTTTTTGATTTCAAAATAAAAAAATAAGGGTATACTTTTTTCGGTATAGAACTATCCTAGGGAGTGAGAGCATAAAAATTCACGTTTCACTTTTTCACATGCATTTTTGGACCACCCTAATGCAGAATCACTAATATTTCGATATTTCAGTAATGTATGTAGCTTGTGTATAAGTAAAACCAATTCGACTTCTCCAACAGGTGGCAACCCCTTTAAAAATATTTTCAAACTAAAATCGTTTTACTGTTTACATATTATACATGTTTCAATTAACTGATGAATTAGATTGAATTTGATTTTTTAAGCGGCAACCCTCTTAAAATTTATCTTTAAACCCAAATTTCCTTAAATATTTTTCGTATGACATTGTTATAAATATTTCAAGCAACTGATGAATTAAGTTGAAATTTATTATTTTTTGAACACGTGGCAACTCTCTTAAATAAAGTTCTGTAATAAAGGATTTTAAATCCCTTACCGTTTAATAATTACTTAATTTATTAAATAATTTTTATTT